AAAGGGGGGGGGGGGGAGAGAAAATAATCAGTATAATACATGATCAAACTTCATTTTAACTTCAGATTCTGATGACATGGTTTTGATTTAGACAGCTGCTCATTAAGAATGAAAAACAAATCCTTTATCCACAGACCAGTTATATTGCAGTCAACATCCTTCAGCAGTATAGCAAACCGTGTTGTGAAGAGATGGTCCTTTCTGTGGTACTTCATTTGTTGTTTATCACCTTAAAAGTTTTTCTGCCATAATGACAATAACTATATCCAGATACTGTTGTTGTTAAAGCTGTCAAACACCTTTGGGAGAAAATGGATGGTATATAGTTATAACCCTAAAATACATTTTAAATGGTTTCTCTATTTTCTGCTACAATCAGAGACAATGTATTTTGTGACAAACTATACCAGGGGTGTCCAAGCTTTTTGAATGTGGGGCCGGATCATGAACTTTTTATCACCCAGCGGACCGGCGAGCCACATTCAAACACCCTCTGTCCTGGGCCAGAGAGTGTACCCCTATTGCACCTACCTGTTACTGCAAGGTTCATGGTAGCTGCTGGTGGGCAGGGGCAGGAGGGACCCATTCTGCACCCAGCCAGCTACTGCTCCAGAGACTGAAGGGGAGAAATAAATAGCTCCACATCTCCACCCCCCAAAGCAGTGCAGCCCCACAAGCCGGCGCTGCCTGAGGGGGGCTGGAGCAAGGCAGCCGCTGCACTACAGCCCCTCACCCACCACCTGCACGGCCCTGCTCACTGTGGTGCCCGGCCACCCTCGCACACAGCCCCGGTGGCCTCAGCACTGCGAGCCTGGAGTGCGGGGTCCAGCAGACACCGGCTCCCACCACCACACCCCGCAGAGGTCACGCCAGGAACCCGCCTGTCGAGGCCCCCCCGTGCTGGCTTTGGACGGAAGGAGACCAGCCAGGTCGGCGCCAGCCAGCAGAAGTGGTTGCAGAGCTATGTGCTGCTCAGGGCTGACCGATGCAGGCAGGGGGAAAATGCAGCTGAGCCCCTGCTGCTCTGGCCAGGCTTGTCCTGTCCCAAGTGGCACACGGTTCCGCTGCTGCTTCTGCTGGCCGATGCAGGCCCGGCTGGCCTTCTCCCGTCCCCAGCAGCACATGGGAAGCCGGCTTCAGCCGCATGCTGCTCCAAATGGGGCTGACCCAGCCGGGTCAGCACTGGCCAGGAAAAAAAGGTGGCATGCAGCTACTCCTCTTCCCATACACACCACATCAGCAACATCAAGCCAACACGGTGTGTGTGGGAACCCTGTCCCTTCTCCAGCCCTTCAGCAGCCATTAGGAAGCTACTGAGGGGCTGGGAGAGAGACAAGGGGTAGGAACAAAAGTAAACAGTTTATTTTCATTTCCCGTCGCAGTACCTTGGGCCACAGAAAATGTCTCGGTGGGCCGCATGTTGGACAAGCCTGAACTATACTAAGTACACATTGAGGCCATGGCTTGAAGGAAACATGGACTAAGGATATTCTCAACTTCTCCCCATCATTTTGATGACTGAGAAACAATTATTCCCAAGCTCATCTTTTAAAAGGTACTGAAATTCACCCCTAAACCTCAAAAGAATAAGCTTCACCATTCAGCAATTAGTAACCTGCTTCATTGAGGAATTCAGATTCAAGGTGTAATTCTTACCTGTTACACACATGCCAAAAAAGCAAAGATAGAATCTAGCTCTTAAGTTCATAACATACACAGCCTTCACAAGCCTGAGAACCAAATAATACAGAGACGCAACGCTATTCCTCAGATACAGACACTGCATTAACTTCTAAGTCCTTTTTTTAAACAAATGTGTCAATGTTTAAAACAAATCTAAAAGCTAAACTCAAGATCAGAACTGTTATTATGGACGGCTACTAGTTCAGATGTTAATATAATTTAGAATGTAGAAAGCTAATTAAACAATACCCCAAAACTGGTAACACCCCATGTGGTAGTGTTGGAGCAAAGTTGTAGCCATGATGGTCAAAAATGTGTGAGAAACCTGAAGAACACACTGGATTTAAAAGCTTGTAAGTCTATTCCAATTATACAGTTAGTCCAATAGAAGATATCACTCATGACAATCCGTTCTTCTCACGTATCACCTATTTTTTTGCGTACTCAAAAACTGCATGAACAGCTACGTAAGAGATCATTTTAAAAAGCTACATCTACCAGTTCTTTTCTAGTCACTAATCTGTTAACTCTTCTAAAGAACTACAGTGATTTAAAGAGATATGTATGCCCTTTACAGAAGCATTCCGATTTCCCACTCCCTCCCAAAGCTACCAAGTTATCAACATGAAATCCATTAGATTGCTCCAACCCATTTCTTGGCTTAAACTAGTGAGAACACCAGGGTAAAATTGTTTAGTTTTTACTTTTACAACAGAGTAAACACTGGCGCATAGTTTGGTTCTACTGTCGCCAAAAAGGGATCACCTGAAAAAAATTCAGCCACAAATCTATAATCTAATTTAGGCTTAAGCAAGACATGCCCCTTGGTTGCACGCATTTAGGTTTTTTTTTTTAATTTAATCAGAATTACTAGTTTCTTTAAAAGTATCAGTAAAACAATTAATGAAAATGTAATTTACCATAGTATGTGCAGATATACGCTGTCCACATAATTGAATACAGGAGCTGCTAAAGAAGCTGCCACCAAGATCAGCTGAACTGCTGTGTTCATCTAGTAAAAAAACAGATTACAATTGTGACCATAAAGGTATAATATACACCGTCTGTCTACACTGGCTAATATTTCTACAAATCTGGGAGGGAGAGCAGTGGGGTTGGGATCAAGAGATACCAGCTCTGAGATTTACTATTCACATTTCTGCTTTGTCAATAACACTAACTACATCCTTAACATTAAACAAGCGCTTTGCTGGATCATGGTCAGAATGCTGAGAACTTTGCAAGATCAAGCACAGCATCAGAAATCGTAAGCACTGTAGAGTACAGCATTCAGCAAACTGAAGGGGCTTCATAACAGTGAAGAATTTAAGACACAGAGGAAGAAGTAATTTATAAAGGAATTCTCATCCGTACCTTGCTGATGAATGTTGGTTTTAACTGAGCAGTGGCATAGCAAGGGTTGAAATACCTACCAAGTGTTCTCTGCGAGGAGAAAGAAAGAAAGAACGAACACTTTTTAGCGTATGCTTGAAAGAATTAGTCAGCAAGAACACACTACAGAAAGTCAGATACTAAATTGGAGAAAGGACTGTACTGCACTGTTCTGCTACAGCAAAAATCATATTTGGGAAAAAAAAGAATATTCAAGAAAACCCTCAATGATAAAACTTAAAAAAAACTTAACATACAAGTGGCACAATGCAGGTAGCAAAAAGGTTACTGAAAGATTACCATGTTTAAAACTAGCTTTCTTCACCCCAATAATTGCTGGATCTTCTTCTGTGAAAGTGTCCTCTTTAATATACGACTACATCTCAAAGATTCTCATACAAAATGATGTTCTTGTGCCCAGCAAGTCATAACTATTTTCTAAGTTTTGAATCACTGTTGCATTTCATAACAAAAGCTTTGGCCAAGATTTTCCTTCAGGCGATTGCTGCTTCCCACTGTTGTGTACACACACACACACACACACACACACACACACACACACACAAAACAACCCAGGAAACTGCTTTAAAATCCAAAGCAATTTGATTGCACATCTATTTTAGAACACACACACACTTACTGGTGGAGAAAGAGTTTTGTATCGTACATAAAAAACAGCAGCAACGAGCACTATATCCCTCAAGATGATGAGAGAAGTAAGTGGAACTAGAAAACAAACACAAATATAGTTAATAAACCTTTTTTCTGAATAGAAACTGTATCAATGAATATCTAGCTATATACAGAAAGGTAGAAACACGTGTACTACTGCATATCCTCATGTGTAATTCCCATTACCACAAACAGAAATTGTAAGAACCATTGGTTTTCTTTCTAAAGGAAAAAATGATGCAATTTTGGAAATTTAAATCTCTGACTTGCTATTCAGTATTATCACTAGTGGGTCACATGATTCTGCAGCATGTCCTACAACAAACATGCCTTTCCTCCACAGTCTAATATAGGGATTTTCAACTGGGGACACTTGGGATGGCCTCAGGGGGTACTTGGCAGTGGGCACCATTTCTGTTGCCACCATGCCAGTGGCACACTCGTCAGTCAGCTGCAGGGGACCCACCCCCTCCCGCCCATCTACTGGCCGCCGGGGAACTCCTTCCTTCTTGACTGGCTGCTGGAGGTACACTGACCCAAAAATGTTGAAAACCCCTGGTATAATACAGAGATGGGAGAGTAGAAAAAAGTTTCACTGCTGTCAGGGGACAGAGAAATGAGTTTGGCAGTAGGACATCATTTATTTTTGGTCTCTGTCAGGAAGAAAGGGCTCCTAAGGAACCAAGTGGCCAAGCTGCCTTGTTCTCCTCATTTTAGATAGGAGAATTAAGCTTGGAAGATGGATTAGGTGAAAAATATCCTTTTTTGTAGAACCTGGACATAAAATGACAGGCTTCTGTAAACGTGAGTTCTAAGAACAAGAAAAGAAAGAAAAATGCTCCATTAAGAAAAAGCAAATTATTACTCAAGCCGAACCTGGTGATGACAGCATTTAAGATGCTCATCATCAAAGCAGTCAAATCTGTCTATAGTTAGATGACTTTTATGACATAATATTTAAAATAGAAATTCTTTATCTTTCCAAGACTTTAATAGTAAAACACAACTGATAAGGACCCACCAAAATTGCAGTTTTGCAGGAACCACGAAAAACAGCATTGTCCAAAGTTGCTGAGAAATCCAGCACTGGTCACAATTTCCCGCAAAAAGCAACCCAAAAAAGTGGCAGTGACGTAGACTGAGTGAACGCACTCTCCACCAATCAGTGGCGAGGGGCAAGGCCATCAAAGCCCTTTCGCCAATCAGTGGCCAGTGGCGGGGCTGCTGCAAAAATCAGCTCTGTGCACTGCAAGCGGCCTGCAAAAAACCTGTTGTCTCACCGCTACTTAGGTAGGTCCCTAACAACTGACAAAAGTTTTGGACATAAACATGTTTTCCCCCTGGACATCATTAGAATGGTCTTAATGTAGGACAGTCACTTCCCTATCTTTTCTACAGTTCACTCTTCTAAAACAAAAACAAATAACTCTTGCCCATGAACATACCATGATCTTACCTGGAATAAGATTTGCATAAGTCAAGCTGACATACAGGACACTGATAAGAATTTTATCAGCCAGAGGGTCAAGGGCACTTCCCAAAGCCGATTTCTGATTAGCCCAGTTTCGTGCAATAAATCCATCCAGCTGTAAATACAATATAAAAACTGCATGAGACCAGAAAAAATAAGCGTGTATATATTAGCATCATCAGGCTAGTTGATCTCACAATAACGTAGGTAATTTTATAATGTAGACGATTTAACCAAAATTAATCAGCCCGCTTTGTTACAAAGTGCATTATTTACATCACTCTTTCCCCCTTACTCTGATCCCAGAAGTTTATAAGCAGAGCAAGCAAAATGTCTAACAGTCATGTATCATTACTACTTGAGCACATACAAACTATTAAGTGACACAGGCAGCTGACTGGCTCCACATATAAATGAAAGGTTTGTATAGTGCCCACTAGGTGATCCTCAGCTACCTGTTTAGAGAACCTTTATGGCCCCTTGATAATAGTAAAGTAATACAAAAGGAACCTTTATAAGGGATGATAATGTGGGCTTTAGCAGACACTTCAAGAAAACCACCTGCATACTAGCTGGTCTCATTTCAAAGTCTGTTATCAAAGGTCAAGTGAACTAGAGAATTCTTTATGTGGTTTTGATGCTACTTAAAACTAAAGCTGGCAACTGCCTCACATTTCACTGCTGTATTATACAACATACCAGGTCTGTTATTCCAGCCAAAGTAAAGACACCGAGCGCAACACTGAAATCTTCTTCAACAATCAAGTATCCCAGAACTGGTGCCAAACCAATTCTCACCAGGGACAGTAGATTTGGGATAGTCCATGGGTTTTCATACTAGGGGGGAAAAAGAGTAGAAACTGTTAAAAAAAAAATCCAACAAACCTTAGTCATTACTTGGTAAGTCAAGGTAAACACACATTTTATTTGAATGTAAGTCGCCAGAATACCTTGAAATTCTGGGAAACAAACCCCACCGTAAATGAAACTAGCAACCAGACTCCAGATGGAACTCAGCTTTTATTGTGATGACAAACTTGAATCTCTAATGAAGGGGATAAAGGAAATCTGAGGAAACCCCCGCAAATCCCAGCATTACTTCTCACTGCAGTCGGGGAGAACCGCGGCCACATCTGCCAGGGCTGGTGATGTCTTGCTGGCCACTCAGCTAGCCCCCTCCACACCTCACACCCGGCTGGAAAAACGCTCCCCCCCCCCACCCCTGGCACGTACCAGCTCG